CGAATTAACTATCTTTCCCCTTCGACCCCGAAGCTTTCGCTGCACCGACATTCCCGTCCTTCTTGCACACTGTCTCGAGCTTCACCTCGGGCTCGTTACATTAATTAAACAATATTTGCGATTAATATTTGAGATAATCATCAGCGCCTCGAAGCAGCTTCTGCAGGCTGGCGGAGGATGCGGAATAGCGCGCGTGCTAATCGGGTTAGCGCTTTCGTGGGCCCTTCTGCCTTTCCCTTACTCCTCCCTTCGCCGTTCTCTTACCCGCAACTTCGTAGGCACGGAAACTGTAATTTCTTCTCGGACGAATCAGCCGAATCTCAACAGTCTGGCAACGTTTTGATACAATTTCATAGACGTCTAGACAAATACAGGCGTACGATAAAAAGCAAAACCGAACATAAGCGTTTTATTCGATGCTTTAATATAGAAATCGAGTTCTATGACAACTGGATATACTCTGCGTGTCAGAACTATAAACCTACCCAAAAATTTTCAACTTTATATATATTCATCGTATATGCAGGATGTTAGGCCACCCCTGGGAAAAATTTTAATGGGAGATTCTAGAGGCCAAAATAAAACGAAAATCAAGGATATTAATTCGTTGATCGGGGCTTCGTTAAAAAGTTACAGAAACATTTCCGGCCACACAGTATTGTGGCGGCCAAGGCACCACATACGCCTTAGTCGTTCGAAGCCGCTACAATGTATGGTTGCACACGAGACGACCAGAGCCGCGCAAGCCGAAAAGCCGTTGTCGTCACCTCTGACCGTCTTTTGTTTTCGAAGGCCTCTTGGTACGGTGGCGATGATCGTACCAGAGAGTCGAGCGTAACCCGCACCACGAGTCACGTCGTTGTACGACAGCAACAATACAATTGTGCGGAACGGAACAGAGCGGAGTCATTATCTTCCCGATCCCACAGTATATTATATTATATTTTCGGTAAAGAATTTTTTTCTCGAAAGTGCGTAAGATTTCGGGCGTATGTGTATTCACCAAAAATGATTATAATTGACCTCCGCAACCGAAAATAATTTTTTTAGAACGATTTGAAATTTTGTTTTTTCGCCGTTAAATTTGAGCACTTACTCGAATTTTGTTCTCGAAAGTGCGTAGAAATTCGTGTATATGTCTATTCACCAAAAATGATTGTAATTGATCCGGCAACCGAAAATAATTTTTCCAAAATGATTCGAAATTTTTTAATAACCTTCTAACGAAGCCACAATCAAGAAATTGATATCCTTGATTTTCGTCTTATTTTCGTCTTTATTAAACAATCAATTGTTACCTATTTATAAATGAAAATAAAGAAACAAATTGGACTTTTCAATGCCGTCGTTAATGACGGTCGTGCAACTGTAGCATGGCTACGGGACCGTAACATTGAAGTTTTAACCCTTTGCACTCCGGATTACTAACTTCAATTTTGTTACCAGCAGCTCCCAACGCTTTTAAGTGTTTTATTTGAAATTTACGTTAACTAAGAAATAGGGCAATTTAAACAAATAGAAGTACAAGCAAATTTAATTAAATATGTGTTTTGTTTACACTATTATTATGTTTTGTAATTTTCAAGTGTATGATGTCTCTTTGGTTTGGACTTGAAAAAATGTTGAGTGGGACTCGATAAAAGGGCTCCTGAGATAAAAACTGATGTCGAGTCACACTCAACATAGGAGTTCAAAGGGTTAAAGTGACTTGCGTGTTCGTCAGATCAGAATCCAATAGGGAACATCTTGAGCATTGCTGCTAAAAAATCTATGCTGGTAATAAACAGTATCAAAATATATCTGAACTAAGAAATGCAATTACAACAGCGTGGTGGCGAGGTACAAAATACAATGTGACAAAATCTAATAAGAAGTATGAAAAATCGACTAATTGAAATTCTTTAAAATAGGGGAGATCCAACACGTTACTAAATTATTATTATAACTTAATTAAATTGTATTCTCGGGGCAATATTTGTATAATTTGTTTAATAAGATTACCCCGATATTCCGGTTTTATAATTATGAAACAAGATTAAATCAGCTTTCTGTAATTCTTCCTTTTTCTAGTGGATACAATTTATCCTTCTTTGACAGAATATCGTTTCTTAAAACAATGTCAAATATAGTACACTTTGCTTTTCATTATTTTCACAGCAACATATGAAAAGTGAAAATTTTAGAGTGATTTTTTAGTTATGACACGCACTGTATTTAAAAATGAAGCTAACACGGGAGTATAGAGCTTCTTCATCATTATTATTGGTTTGGCAACTAAGTAATTGCGAATTTGTTTAATAAAATAAAAAACAATTCTTTCATGGAATGAAATAACTTTACTTAGTAATGTATTGTTCATTTTTAACAATGACCTTTTTGCCATCTTTCAGGCAGCATCATAATTCCACGTTTACAAAAGTTCTGATAAAAAACTGAACCAAGTTTGATTTGATATCATTATTATTGAAATTTTTACCATTCAAGAAGTTTTGCAAAGAACGAAACAAACGTTAATCTGAGAGTGCAAAGTCAAGTCTATACGTGTTGCCACATCCCAACCAAGTTCCAATAATTTTTGCCCAGTGGCCAAAGATGTGTATGGCGTTGCATTGTCATGGTGGAACAAGATACCTTTACGATTGACGAATTCTGGCTGCTTTTTTTGAATGACATTATTCAGTTTGGTTAGTTGTTGAATGTACACATCGAAGTTGATCGTTTAGTTGCATAGTCAAAACTCAAAGTAGATAATTCATTTGTAATCCCACCAAACTGATAACATAATCTTCTTTATACAAATATCAACTTTGGTTGTCGTTTGAGCCAGTTCATCTTGCTTGCTCCATGATCTTTTTCGATCGACATTGTTCTAAACAACCCATTTTTCATCTCCAGATATCAATCTTTTTAAAAATGGATCATTTTCGTTACGTTTCATAAGCAAATCACAGATGTCAATGCGTTATTTTAAGTGAATTTCTTTGAGCTCTCGAGGAACCCATACATCGAGTTTCTTTATGTAGCTAACTTGTTTTAAACGCTTTTCGATGCATGTATGCGATACATAGAATTTCTCTGCAATCTTACGCGTTGTACTACAACGATCCGAATCGATTAATGCTTTGATTTGGTCGTCATCAACTTCAACTGGTCGGCCTGAACGTTCTTTCATCTTTGAGTGAAAAATCACCGAAATGAAATTTAAGGCTCTTTTAACGCTTCGTCACCATCCGCGGCAAATAACTTTTTGCGAGCTTGCGATGCATTTTTTCCTATGTGGAAGTAATACAACAAAATATGACGCAAATGCTCGTTTTGAATTTCCATTGTTCAACCGACGCATAGTGGGGCCATTGCATGCCAAACGCGGCAAAAAGTGGTTTTATACAAATATACCCACAATGAAATAATGATTCACTAATAGTTAATGGGACACATGGGCCATGATTTAGAATGATTTTTTTTATCATTTGTCGATTTTTGATACGACTACATGATTTTGAAACGTTCAATCTTAAAATCATCCAAAATTATAATCATCGTTTATTGTTGCTTTGATTCTTCAAAGTAAATGATGAGTAATTGAATTAAATGTACTTAGTACGTATTTAAATTACGAATGAAGAATCAGATGAAGAATCATTCATAGATTCATAAATTCTTTCGTTTTCTCTTCGTAAAGGTCGTGTCGTCTATTCGCTAATTGCCATCTTCTCCTGAAACGGGACTTCAAAGTTGCAATTTTTGTTTTCAAAATTTTCTGGTACTCCACAGAATAATTATCCTGGCTCATTAAGGACGACTCTAAAAATTCTAGTTTATTTTCAAAATCATGATTTTGATGCTGTGTCATGATGTTATAAAACTGCATCATTAAAAACACACGTACTCCTGATGAACCTTAGGATTTAAAAAAAAATGTCACTCTATTAAAATGAAACTTTTGCTACGAAAACTGTATTAACAAACTATATAGAAGATGAAGAAAAATGGCTAAATTCAAATATATATATCTGTACCTACCTACTTCAATTGGAAATTCCATTATTTTAACACTAAATATTTCACTCACAACATACAAGTTAGGAACTTCAAACGACAAATGCTCCAAATTCGTGATCATTTTCTGGTTTTATAGCATTCGAAGCAAAAACAATGAAATGTATGCATTGTTTCCCAGTTTTGATGTATTTTTGAGAATCGTAACAATACTCGCAATCGCCGACGCTTCCACGTACCGAAACAGTTGATCATCTTTATATTTTTCGCAGTAGCAGCTAGTAGCAGCTAATTTTTTTTTTTAAAAAAAAGGTAAGGTTTCGCTCTACAAAAAGCAACTAAAATGAACACTGAATCACACTGCATTCATAATTAAAAAATAAAATGAAAACTGAACATGCTCAATTAGTTATAACTAAAAAAATGTTGGAGATATAAAAGTGTACTTTGGTTTAATTTAAATACGTACTAAGTACATTTAATTCAATTACTCATCATTTACTTTGAAGAATCAAAGCAACAATAAACGATGATTATAATTTTGGATGATTTTAAGATTGAACGTTTCAAAATCATGTAGTCGTATCAAAAATCGACAAATGATAAAAAAAATCATACTAAATCATGGCCCATGTGTCCCATTAACTATTAGTGAATCATTATTTCATTGTGGGTATATTTGTATAAAACCACTTTTTGCCGCGTTTGGCATGCAATGCCCCCACTGTGCGACGCCAAGAAAAAAAACTACAAAATCGATCGATACAATATTATTTCTGAATGACAATTAAAGTACTATCCGACAACGATATGAGTTTCACGTTTCGAATACATAGTTAATGTATATGTATAATGTATAACGATGCAGTCAATTATATAGTTGCGAAACCAATAATATAATTGACACCTGGCAATGGATGCAGTAACCGACACACGCTCGAGAAATTAGCTCTTCTCCAGGAGCAATGAATTAATAAATATCGTTTTCGTGAATTTTCCAGCACTCCAGGATTGGCAGCGGGTTTCAGGCCAGTCGAACCACCAACGTCGCTCTTCTTCTCCCCGCACTTGGCGGCCCAATTCTCGCCGCCACTGTTCGGTAACAAGGTGGTCAGCAGCGCGCCGACATCTTTAACCTCGACGACTCCTTCGCTGTGGACTACGAGCGATCATCGGCCGAGCAGTCTGCAGGACATGTTGTCCTGGTCCCCGGCAGGCTGGCCAGGCTCCATGTGCGGATGCTGCAAGCCTGGAACCGGTGATCTTCATAGAAACAGTAGCCTAGCCGAGCTCAGAAGAAAAGCTCAGGAACATTCGACCGCTTCCGCGCTTCTCGGCGGTCTCGCCGGATTTCCCGGCGGACTACCCTTGCCCCTGCATCTGCCATTGCTGCCGCCCCTGCTGGGACTCTCCAGGAGGCCGGAGCACCATCATCACCATCTACCCAGTATAGTGCACCAGATACAACCGACCACGAAAGAGGATCCCTAAGATCGTCGTTCGCGGCGCCACTCGCATAATAGCTGATTGAATCTTTGGCCACCACGGCCCTTGCAACTGGGCACGTATACGTTTCTGAACACTGGTTTCTGTTGTTCTTTTTCTATCGTTTAAGGACGATCATATTTTAGACAAGGTTGGAGGGTCTCCGAATCGGTCGCAAGAGTGCAAGTGTATGATTTAAAGGGGATAACCACGGTGCAGGATCGAGACGTATGTTTTATCTCTTTTCACAAAGTTTACTATTTAACACTATTTTACACGGACGATGGATCTTCTCCTAGAGGGGCTATACAACATTTTTAGCACGTCGATAAATTAAAATAAAAGCTTTCCTAAGCTTGGAAATACTGTATTCGCAAACATTGCCTTACTTTTTCAATTCGACGCCATGGTTGTCTTCCTTAACGTGTTTGAGAGCATTCGAGATCTTTAGAGGCACGCATGCTCGTGTTGTTGATGCAGTTGTTGGGAAACTGTTTACTTGAAATAGTCTTTAATTCGGATATTTCGGGGTGAAATCTCGTTTTTTTTTCTATTGTGTTTGTCTATTTCGTCGAATTTAGAATTTCGTGAGCATTAAAGTTGTTTAGGTAATTTTTGAATTTTAATTTATAAAACCATAGGAGACTTCGAACTTTTACAGGTTCCCTGGTTTTGTATGTTTACGTTTGATAGTTGTCCTCGAATATTTTTACCTGAATTCTCGGCGAGGAAGAAGAAAAATTGTAAGTAACATTGTTTACGATGGTATAGAATTTTACATTGACGAGTATTAACGAAGAGTGCTAGAGGATGAGACTTCGATAGTAAATTTAAACTTTTGAAATCTAATCCTGTTTGCTGCTGTTTATTTGACAATATAATTTTTATTTAATATACAGCTGTTTTTTATCCCATTTGTAGATCTTATAATGTTCCGCATAGGAGGAATATGAAAGTCGTTGAAATATTTTTAACCGTATTAGAAATATTCTGAAACGTTTGCTAATTCAAAATACGTCACTATTTATCAGTATCATCGATGGATTTTCTTCAAACGTGTCTTCTTAATTTGCTTTAAACTAAATATTAGTAATTTCAAAATTTAATTCCAAAATAATGGGTTTTAAATTTATTTAGAGTACAGTCGTTTTAAAAAAAAACAAACGACGCATCTTAATTAAAATTCGGTAAAGATGACATAATCAAAATATGGTGCAACCGAAGCTCTTTCACCCAGCTTCTTGGAATTTATTTCAGAATCAAAAAATACGAGATCGACGCGTCTAATAAACGGTCCATCGAAACGAATAATCAAATAGTTGCATCAAATATTTATTTTACAAATATCCCTCCGTTTAAAAGATAAATGTACAAAAATCAGTTTCCTTGGATCAAAGTGAAGACGAATCATCGATTGCGAAAGACCAATACGTGCCTGATGCGCTCTATACTTAATTATCCGACAAACAAAGCAGTAAAAATCGTGTCTGTGAATCAACATTCAAATATACGTTGTCAATATTAAAACAACAGTCTCAAATTACCAATCAGATTCAATTATTTTTTAACTCTTGATCTTTTTTGGACTAATTAATTTTGGACTGTTGGAAAAAACACGTAAAAATTCATCCCAGTTTGGTGAACTCAGCGCGATAATAAAATATATTTCCAACAATATTCATTAAGTAGTTCTTTAAAATTCATGCATAAATATTATATAAATAATTCTATTTATTCCCGTACAATTTATATGTTCGGCAGAATATTTTTTAAACTCGTAGTATTTATAATACCAGAATTCTGTAAAATTATTTGAATCTTTGATGAATCTAAGCTTTTCGAATCGCTGGCTGAAAAATCACGATTCAATCGATGAACGCGTTGGTAATGAAATCGTTTAATTAAAAAGAGTTTTCTTCTACCAAAAAGGTAATACCTCGTGCGTTGCAACCCAATCAAACTATTGAATATACAAGATAATTTATATTGCGATAGAATAATTTATATCACACTTAAATCGAGTCTACGACAATTTTCTTGAATTATATGATTACTCTATCATATTATTCAAATAATACGGATATCCGTATTACCCGTGTAACACGGACATCCGCTTTAATCGCGCGATCCAAGCACGCGCCAACAGAAATAATATTTCCATAGATGAAAATTTCTTTTTCATTAAGCCAATATAAGGATATCGTTGCGAAACAACATGGTTTTTTTATGTTCGGATGCACGGATTCGTGGATACTCGTAACCCTAAAACAGGTACCTGGAGCTTGGAGAGTTCTTCAATTAAGATTTTAAAGTTAGTAAATCAAACTATGAAAGTTTTTTAATAGTTTTCTTAGTCCTCTTATATCGTTCATAAACAAAGGTTGAAACTATTCGGCTGTTTGAAATTATAAAATAAATATTTTTCGTTTAGGATCACAGCAATGTATTCCACAACCGTTCGTCATTTTTTGCATCGTTTGATAACTTTATTAACGCAAAAGCTTTTCGTTTTTCCTGTTAGCGAAACGTACAAAAATTTGTTAGTTTACGAATTCATCGCCTGGATTTCGTATTTTCAATATAAATGTTCTTTTCATCGAGGATTAACATTACGCTAAATAATTTATATGTATATCCGTTCAATACTTCCTAATCGGTATAATTAGTTTGTTTGAAAAATGATATAAAATAATTCCTCTTCATCGTTAATATATGCGAAATTTTTCGAAATATTGAAGAAGGAACGAACCAAATACGCTGTTCGAAATAATTAGTTAAAAACGAATCGGATACCAAAAATTAAAGAAGTACTACTCTGTAACGATACAAATTTTTGTAAAATTCATTTCTTCTTATCCATCCTAAAAATTAGTGCATAAGAAGCAATTTCTTTGGCACCTAAGAGAACAGTGATTTTTAATGTATCGGTGTATATTTCTAATTATTTTGAGTCGTGCAGTATTTCTGACACCTCCGATATTTATCACGATATATGCTAAATACTGAGACCCAAAAACGTATATACCGTGCGACAAAATACGAAAGAATTTCCAGTTTTCCGTGCCTGATCTAGCGATCAAGGGTTCTCGAGTATCGTTCAGAAATCCTGAATCAGGATCACACGACACAGTAGTAGAAAATGTGCAAATTGCCCACGAGTCGATGGCTATTCGTGCATGCCTTACGATGTACTTGCCAATGATTTATTGATATAATTTTAGAAAAATCTAAGAGGGGAGGGGGATTACTGCTGTACGAATACTATTAATCGCAGAGTCTAAGTCGAGCGTATAGAGGAACACGCGAAGAACAATGGTATAAAATCGTGAAACTCTGAAAACGATCGCGTGAATTCACTTTGATATCTCGGCAGTTATACTCGTAATGGTAAAAATCGTTTTGTTCGCGTTGCAATATGATTACCGTTGTTCTTCTGGATTACGGAACCGAGGTATAACGACGGAAGGAACGTAGATACTAGTAGAGACCTGTATATTACATCCCGGTGAATTGTCATTGCTAATCAAGGATAATCTAATAACAGCATGTTACAGACTAGCGACTATTATGTATCCTGAATTGTGGGTAGTGAATTATCGAATAAACTTGTTCTCTCGTGATAAGTCTGTGTAAAAACTGTTGTCTTTTCTGGCCTCTTTCATCCCATCCCGCATTATAGCGTATTCAGAACGCGAGTACAAACGTTAGCGTAGAAACGTAAAGTTAAAAATTAGATCCGAGGTAGAATGCACTGGAAAGTTCAAGAAATTCTAAATTATACGTATAAAGCATACAATTTCATTATTTCGTTAAAAAATTGTGCATATTTTGCTCTGAAAGCAGTCCTCAAGAACAATTTAATTTTTAAAAGCATTCCTTTATTTATCGAAAGATTAATAAAAAACACTTTTATTTGTTGTCGCCATCTAAAATGACCTACGTGCGAAGAGAGTTGAAATTTTTGTTTTTTTTTTTAATACCGTACGCGAGTGCAAATTTATGCACGAAACGCGGGCCGCAAAGAAAAAATTCAGGTTGACACTAGTCAAGGTAAAAGTAATATTTATGGAAACAGTAACATTTATACTATTTTGTATCAGTGACACGACGCGTCACAGTTTCCGTTTGAGTATAACATACTTACTGAAAACTTTATCTTTTCAATAACCATTAATTTTATTTTGAAACAAGATTTCAAAGGTACTTTGTTACTTAGCCAAGATTCTCATTAATTTTACAACTTATTAGACTTACAAACTAAAATTTTCAGGACATACCCGATGCGGTATATTGTCAAGGATCAGGTGTTCACTTAAGGGATCCCTCGAATCAACTCAGTGATCAAAGGCTATGGTGAACCTATCAGAGAGATTTGCTGGAGTACCAACATCTAATAGCAATTGAGCGTTGAATTATAACCGATCTACAAAGGAGAGGTTTGATCGTCAACGTGTGTTTGCTGATATATTCCTAATCAATTTGAAACGGTGCAAGCACAGTTAGAGATATTACACTTGCTCGATTGTCTCGCGATCATTTTCTGCAAACGATACACTAACGTAATTACATTTAACAGAGATAGGAAATAACAGAAAAATGAATTATTTGCATCTACATCTTTTAAACTACTAATTGGTGCAAAGCGTCGAACTGATATTGTTTTAGGCTAGATTAACTCCCTAAAATCTTCGTGCAATTAGCTCGAAGATTTATTAACCCGCAAATAACACCGCCGGAGAGCAGATAGGCTATCAGAACTCTGATCGCATCAGTGTTCCGTTCGAAACCACTTTCGTCGGCTGATCCTCGAAAAATGACGGATTTTTAAACGTGGCACGCCTCCGAGAACCTAAGACGGGACGAACAGCGGGAAAGAATAGAAGAAGAGGACAGCATCGGGTAAAACTTGACTGCGGGGGAGGGCTGGCAGGGCCAGCGGAAGGGGTTGTTGGCAATCAATGCTCCTCATAAGAAAAGCTCGCCCTCTCTTATGGGATCAACCCTCCTCTGGAGTACGCGGTGAGGTCTGTATCTACAAAAAGGAGGAGAGGCACGAGCTAGTTAGGTGGGGAGACAGAGCTAGCATAGAAGACGACAAGCGCGAACAAGGACGCAAGAACATCTGTAAGATGAAACGAGACAGGGAGGCGAAGATCTATTTCAGACAGAACGAGAGAAACG